TGCACGGATTACTAAACTGAGTGCACGGATTACTAAACTGAGTGCACGGATTACTAAACTGTGCGAACGGATCACTAAACTGAGTGCACGGATTACTAAACTGAGCGAACGGATTACTAAACTGTGAGCACGGATTACTAAACTGAGCAAACGGATTACTAAACTGAGCGAATGGATTACTAAACTGAGTGCATGGATTACTAATCTGTGCTCTCAGTTTAGCAATCCGTGCGCACAGATTTCCGGCAGCTGTTTTTCGTTTTTCACCACTGACCCCCGGCGGGCTCCGTAGTTTATTGAAACAATATTTGAAYTCTGACACTTAATCTYTGATAGAGACTCAAAATAATGTAAAGAAACATCYGATTCTTMTCTACWGTCTGTTAGTTACTGTAGCAACACTCTGTTTACATGCAGACATTCCCCTTTGACATCACTTCCTGTTRTTTCACATGTGAATATCTCAAGRGYGGTTCRTCTCAGTGACGTGAAATTTGTTTTGCAACACCTTATTAATGTTATTTTTCTAAAAATGCATTCATATCTAGTTCAAAAATTTTGATGTCACGGGCACTTTAAAGCCCAAACTGGTCCCTGTCATAAAATGTGCTGCGATAAAAACTGAATAACAACAAAATAAACTAAAACTCATCAGCGGTGGACGAGGYGCACTCCTTAAAGAAAGTTTGTTTCATTTTTAGCTGATTGTTTGTCAGCTGGTTGAAACTTTCCCCCTTTTTCCACCAAGCTGGAAACTAATGATTCTTTTTGCGTCCCAGCAGCCGTGCAGGAAACTCCCGCCTCGACCGGTTAACACAGTTAACATGGTTAGCATCGCTCTCAGCCAGGGCCCCGCTCGTCCTGCAGGGCTCTGCTGTGAGGGGCCTCTCCGAGCGCTGGAAGTGGGGGGCCCCCCGGCCCACAGGGCCCTTATCAGCCTACAATAGGCTCTCTGCTGGAGGCCCGCCTCCTCTGTATCCATTCAGTCCCACAATGCTGCAGGGCCTGAGGGGGGTAATAGGATTTGATTTGTATGCCGTTTGGTTTGGAAGAAGAAGAAGAAAGAAAAACTTCTTCACACTCGGCCCGTCTTTCACTCGCCTCTTGTTCCTGCGCCAGCCTCTTGTGTTCTCTGAGCAGATGCAAACGCATCTTTCAAGAGAGATCACACACAAAAAGAAACAAAATGAAACGCTGAAAGGAAAGAACCAGAGAGAGAGAGAGAGACAGAGAGAGAGAGAGAGGCAGCTGTCTGGAAGTGGAGAAGAAAAGGATCTGGGCAATAAATGAATGTGAGTCACAGTATGTGTTCTGTCTTGTAAGAGACTCTTTTCATGATGAATGGAAGTGGAAGCTGCGAGGAGCTGAGGTGGAGCATTCATCCCTCGACACCACGTTGCCTTTTTGTCCCAGGATGGAGGGGCTGGAGTGAGACGTCAGGATGTGGACTTACTACAACACTGAAGCTAGAAGCACCAGAAACACACAATCGAGCTCTCCTYAAAGCTTCAGGCTTTGTTTCATGTCTCCATCAATGGTCCCGACCATGATTTTCAAAATAAAAGCGGTCTGTCCAATTGTGAAGCTGGGTGGCAGGTTTCCTGGCCAGCTGGGACTCCTCCGCTGTGCTCTGGATGAGGAACGTTTAGTGGGATGCTGAGCGGCTGAATGGCTCAGTCTGGGCTGTCAGTCGGATCATAATGCTGCTGTGATGTGGAACATGGAGCTGGCAGGTCCCTGTGCAGGCCTGGACACACACAGACACACACAGACACACACAGACACACACTCCTGCCTGCATCCGATAAGAGATCTTGTCCACAGAATCAATCGTGGAAGGAAGGGGTGTGGAAAGCAGCAGACAGGAGGGAGGGGAGGTCAGGGGTTCTGAGAGGTTCTGCCAGAAATCAGCAGCGCGTCTCCACAAACGGTTCAGAACCGAAACCTGAAAACTTTTCTGTCAAACAGAACTTTTTATTTATTTATTTGGATTTGATTCTGTTGCTGCAGGACGCAGTTTGGATTTTAACATTTCTACCAGGACAGCTTCTTTTGTGTTTTTGTGCCAAAGTGAAATCCGGTGATTTATTTTTATTTTAATTTTTTTGGGGACCGTGCGTAATTTGGAGAGGTTGTCATCAGAGCCATGCGCGTGTGTCCGCTGCTGCTCCTCTGTCTGCTGTGCGCAGGACGCGCGCAGAAGTTCTCAGCTCTGACGGTATGAAGCTCACAGTCTTTTCTGTCCAAGATTTAAGGTTAATAAATAAATGCATTAATTAATTAATGAGCTCGTTTGTTCCGCGCGTAAAGACGCACCGTTGAACCAAAACAAATCAGCTCTTTTTAGTTCCGATTTTAAACGTTTCTCTTGCTGATCAGCTTGTTCTTGTGTTCCATGTGGATTTAAAGGTTTTATATTTAAACCCTGTTTCTTTGCTTCAAGGCAGGGCTCTTCAACCTGTGGCTCCGGGGCCACGTGCAGCTCTTTGGTTCAGCTTTGAGCAAATAAATAATGTTTTCTGTCTAATCTTATTCACATAAATAATTGGTTCCAGGTTGATAACAGGTTGATCAGTTAAGTTTTCATCCATACAGGGTGTTTTTTTATGAAATCCAACAGAAAATAACACATTTAAAGAAGAAAGTTGCTGCTATGAAGCAAATATATACGTGATTCTTTTAAAATAAAAATATTTCCACAAATATAAAGTGACTCAGTCTGGAACCAAAAACAAAGAAATCATCATTTTCTCTCCCTTCTTTATAAAAAAATGCTCTTTTGCTTGTTCTAAAATGTCAAAATACGAAGAAACGTTRACAATTTCTCATGGTTATTAAATGYTAAGTGTTTTAAAAGTTGTCTTTATTTGAAGTTGTGGCTGTGATCCCGGTCCACGAGGAGGCTTTCCTGCATGTTTCAGCTCTTCATGTTCTGCAGARGCCTGTCAATCACTTCTCATTCATCAGGTGGGACYGGGCTGAAAGCTCTGTTGAGTTCAGACGAGTCAAACCGTCTCTTCAGAGCCGAATCCAGACTCAGAGGCTCAGATCTGGATGTCTGACGGAGCAGCGCTCAGACGGCTCCACATCAGCACCAGCATCCGATCAGTCTCACTGAAACGTTCACTTCTTCCAGCTGTGATCAGGTTCAGGAACACGCAGCAAAACAACATAAAAAGGGATTAAGGGTGAGCAGAATGCGCCTTGTCAGAAGTTCTGCTTGATTTACGGGTCGACGGGCCGGCCTCCTCCCCAGCAGCTGATTCATGGTTTGTGTGAAGACGATGCTTCTTCACCTGGAGGTGAGGAGTCGTGGAATGTGGAAGTGAAGCACTGAAGTAAAACTGGCTTCAGTCTGCTCCTGTCAAAGTTCTGCTCCGGTTCTGATGATCGGATTGGTCCGATTTTGTGCTTCAAACATCAAAACGTTCAGCTGATTCCAGAGATGGATGCTGTGGTTTCTGGCTTCTGCAAATTTGTGGGTTCTTTAGCGCAAAACGACCGGCCGCAGAGACCAGTCTGCTCACTTCCCGCTCAGACGTGAGCTTTCACACCTGAAGCGAGCATCGTGGGGAAAAGAGGCGTGGAGCTGACCGTTCAGTGATTCTCTCTGTGATTAACTGGTTTTTAAGCCAATTGTAAAACCATAAGTGTTCATAACTCAGACAGTTGTGCAGATGGAGCTGAAACGTGACGTTTTAAACCATCATTCACCAGGTTTGACCCAAACATTTAAAGCTCCCTCAGTTCTCAACCAGAGATGATTTGAGTTTTAAACTCTGGCCTGAAGCTGAGTCTGAGTTTGTCCACTGGTTTAACTTCAACGCACCTTTAAAATAACTTTAAACTTTTTATCTTAAAGCTACAAACAGTCCCTCAAAAATGTCCTTTATAAATATTGTTTTACTTCCACTGCATCATATCTGTAACAACTTCATAACTCACTGTAGATACAAAGTTTTTAATAGTTCTTTCATATTTCTTTAGACTTTTTATGACAATTTTTGATTTTCTTCACGAGAAAAACAAAATCAGCAAGATTTTCAAAAACAAGATGCAAAGTGGAATATCTGGCATGAGGTCATCACCTATATCAATAATTAATAACTTTGATTTTGGTGCGTTATCATTTTGGCAGGTAAATAGTACGGCTGCAACGATACAGAAAATTCACGATTCGCTTCAATTCTTTAGTCTCACGGTTCAATATTTTTTTGATACAAAAAAAGAAAAATTTCCATGCCCCTTTTAACTTGTAATTTATTTAAATTAATTATGAACATTTGTTTAACCTCAAAAGTACAGTTTTTAAATTANTTGAACAGTTTCTGAGTTAGAAGCATTTTTGCATGTCCTGACACCCCCTCTTTGAAAGGAGCCCCCTCCTCAAATATGGGGTCTATTGTAAAACCGCTGGCTGGTGCAGTGTAGGTTGGACCCATCTAGAGCCCTGCCAATTTTAATGTTGACCGGTGCAGCCGTTCTTGTGCTACGGTTGACCAAAAATCACTGAAAAAAACAAACAAAATAAACCCCAGTATGAAAACAATATGTCTCCCGTTTACACTTCGCCTGCGGGGGCCGTAATAAGTTCTAGAATTGCGCCGCTCAAGGTGGCAGCATGTTTAAGTAGCTCTGTTACTTTCATTCTGAGATATTCTTTTTAAACTTTTTTAATTCCTCTTTTTCTGGATAAAATCACGTTTTGGATGAGTATTCCCTCTGCTATTAGATGCTGCGGTTGGAAGGATTTTTGCTAACACTTATTTTGCGTTGGGACATTTGTTACGATGGGTAACAAACCACCATGTTGGTGGTTTATTATAACCTGGAGAAGCCGATTAACATCTCAAAAGCTCTAATAATACCTGATCTACGGCCCTGAATCCCAGACGAGCTGAGAAAGGCGGTGGATGTAGAGCAAAGAGGAGAGAGAGTAGGAGGAAGTTCAAACCATCTCTTCCATCAATCATGATCAATGTGAGATCATTGGGGAACAAGTTGGATGAACTCCAATTCTTGACAAGAACCCAGCCAGAGTATCAGGAACACAGTATGATGTGTTTCACTGAGACGTGGCTGCAGGATTATATCCCTGACTCCAGCGTCTCTCTGCCAGGCTTTCTGGACAACAATGAGCGTCCTCTTCATCAGACATCACACTACAACAGAGTCAGAGGCTTCTGCAGATCCCTGTCAGATGGTCCACTACAGGAGATCCTTCCTGCCCACAGCCATCAGCATCTATAATAACTCTTTAAATGAACCAGAATAATATGAGTTACAAGATTTAATTTCTCATTGGGATTAATAATTATTGAATTGACACAAAATTTTGCTTTTAGCTGCCATTTAGCTACTATTTAGCTGGTCAGAGGTGGGCAGTAACTAGTAACATTTACTCAGTTATATTTTATTTGAGTAATGTTTTGGAAAAAAATACTTGAAAAACCTTTTAGGAGTAGTTTTATTACACTGTACGTTTTATTTTACACTCAAAAACAGATGTAGTGTACTGGTTTACATTTATATGCAAAAGATAGATAGATAGATAGATAGATAGATAGATAGATAGATAGATAGATAGATAGATAGATAGATAGATAGATAGATAGATAGATAGATA